CGGCGTCCCGGTGTCGGCGCTGGCCCAGGCCGCGGCCCGGGCCGCGGCCGCGCTAGACGCTGGGGAAGCCGCGCAGGTCCTCGGCGCCGTCGATCTTGAGGCCCCGCAGCAGGGGGAAGTCGAGGAGCGGCTCCTCCGGGAAGAGCAGGTCGTCCGCCGGGGCGCCGGGGAACCACAGGTTCTCGTAGGGCTTGGGGCTGGGCGAGGCGTCCCCCAGCAGCGGCTGCGTGGAGTCGGAGCGCAGGTAGAGGGGCGGCGGGGCCTGCTGCTGGCCGCGGTAGCCGTCCCCGACCACTCGGGCGTACTGCACGGGCTCGGCCCCGGCCCCGGCCGTGTTCACGTAGGGCCGCGTCCCTCCGTGCTGGTGCGCGTAGGGCTGGGGCAGGGCGGGGAAGCCTGCTGCCATGGCGGGTTCGGGCTCCTTCTTGCCCCAGAGGAGCACCTGCTTCCGTGCTGCCCTTTTGAGCACCGTGATGGTGGAGATGGGCACAGGGCCCAGGTCCCTGAGGCTCGGGGTGTGCAGTGTCTCCTGGGGAGACAGGGCAAGGGCTCAGGGGGGAACAGGCTCTGTGGCCTCCGCACCACCTGCCCCATCAGGGCAGGCAGCTCTGCTCTGCCCCTCTGCCACTGCCCCCTGCCCGGCTCCTTGCTCTGCAGCTCCTGTCCCCCTGCTCTGGGACACGGCCGCCCCTCACCCTTGGCCTGATCCTGAGTGCCTGCTGGGAAGTGAGCATGCTAGCACCATGCAAGACTGGGCCCTGGGATGTCCTGCGAGGGGCCTGGTGGGGTGGCTGCCATCTTGCTGCTGGGAGCCCTCCCCCATGGCACTGAGTCCCTGCCCGTCCCAGGGGGGCTGGCCTTGTGGGGCACGGGGCACTGGGCAGGACAGCAGCCAGGAGCTGCTCCCATGGCCTGGCCTGCGCTCACCTGCTGCAGGTCTGTGGGAACCCACTTGCCGAGGCTGCTGTTGGCCGGGTCAGGGACGCTGGGCCAGAACTGCTTCTTCATCCTGTGCCGCGGAGCAGAGACTCCATGAGGGCTGGGTCACGCCATGGGGTTGAGGTCCGGGGCCTGGGTCTAGTGCGGCCCCAGAGCCATGGGCCCTGGCACTGCAAACCTGCCGGGGAGTCGCGTGGTGCCCTGTGGACCTGCTCGGCTCCCAGCCACGTGCTGCCCTGCCAGAGCCTGCAGCACCAACCTTGGTGCGGGATGTGCCATTGCTGCACGTGCCTGGCCTGCACCCACCCGAGCTGCACTGCGGCTGCACAGCAGGGGATGTGCGGCCGCCAGGCCACGTCGGAGCCCTGCGCATTGGAGCCAGCCCCTCTGGGGTCTCAGCAGAGACCAGCCCTGGCAGCGGCTGTTCTGACCCCTGGCTAGCGAGGCACCACCTGCCCCGGGGCCTGGCAGGCACTCACCTCCCATTCTTTTGGAGGCAGACGGTGAACACAATGAGCAGGACAAAGATGAGGCTGAGGCACAGCAGAAGGAACTGGATCTCAGTGGTGTCTGCAAGAGAGGCAGGGAGGAGGGTGATGGCCCAGTGCCGAGGAATTCCTCTGGTGCCAGCCACGGGCTCCGGCTGCAGTGGGCCCAACACCTCTGAAACCACTGTGAGCCGGGCTCGAACGGCCAAGCTGTCCTGAAGACAGGCATCCCTAGTAAGGGTGTGTGTGTGCACGGGTGCGTGAGTGTGAGTATGGGTCTGCACATGATTAGGAGCATGTGCGTGTGCAGGTCTGCATGTGTGCATGCATGGGTGTGTGTGGGTGTAGGCAGGTGCATGCACACTCATATGGAGGCCACCCCCTCTGCCTCCTTCCTTCCCTGCCTCCCAGTCCCAGCAAGCAGGCAGAGCCCCAGCCCCAGCCTCACCCAGTGCTGTGGTTGTGAGCGTGAGGACGGTGCCATTGGTGCTGCCTGCCACGGTGGAAGCCATGATATACACATTATATGTGGTGGAAGGCTTCAGGGGTTTGATGGTGAAGGCCTGGACATCAGAGTCCACGACGGCACCTGAGGAAACCAGGGCAGGGTCAGCTCCCTCACTCTTGCTGCCGCCCTCGGCCTGGGCATCAGCCGCTAGCAGCTGACGCAGCCTGGGCACAGAGTTCTCCCTGTAGCCTGGCGCTGGCTGGAACAAATCCCACCCTGCTCCAGCCACAGTCCAGCGGAGACCCTGCTGTCTTCCTCTGCCCTTGAGTTTCTGAACTCCGTGCTGCCACGCGCCTCGGCCACGAGACAATGGCTAGGGCTAAAGACATCGGCTGACTGGGCAGATGGGTGCGTGGCCCAGTGCTGCTGAGTGGGGG